CGTCGCCGTCCTTCCTCCTTCGTCGTCGTTCGCGTCGTCGCCGTCCTCCCTCCTCCCTCGTCAATGTCGTCGTTGTCGTCGTTGTCGCCGTCGTCGTCCTTCCTCCTCCCTCGTCGTCGCCTTCGTTGGCGTCGTCGTCGTCGTCGTCGGCGTCGGCGTCGTTGTCGTCGTCGAAGTCGTCGGAGATGTCGTTGGTGTCGTCCTAGTCGTTGTCGTCGGTGTCGTCGTAGTCGGTCTTAAGAGGCTTTGCAAACCAAGTTCCGGGTGGGTGGGTGGGATGTTTGCGCGAGCAGTGGAGATGACGACTTCAAGTTCAGCAGAGTGGATTCCACCACATAGGTTTCACTTCTATGGTGCATCAACTCACTGTTTGGAGTCCACGACGAGCGCAAATTCTTAAACGAGCGCAGATGCTTGATTTAATCCTTAGTCGAGGGCAGCGGCAGCGACTGGGCCAGAGGCCCGCCGTAGGTCGCCGCCCCAGCCCCTGGCTTTGGTCTCGCCAGCGAGTCCGGCGGCGTCCCCCCGAAGCCGTCCCCGCCGCCGGAAATCTGCGGCGGCGGCTGGGCCAAAGGGCGCAGCAGGTCGCCGCGCCAGCCACTGGCCCTGGCCTCGCCGGCGAGTCCGGCGGCGGCCCCTCGAGGTCGGCCCCGCGTCCGCATCGACAATTACGACTGCACGCGCGCCCGCGCGCGGTTTCCGGCGTCTCAGGCGCGCGGCACCCGGCGCACGGATTCCGGCGCACGGAGTGGTGTTGTTTCGCTGGCGTGTCCAGCGGCCCAGGCGGCGGCAGAGCTGGCATCCGGCGCGCGGTCTCCAGCGCGCGGCACCCGCCGCACGTATTCCGGCGCGCCGAGCGGGTCCGACGGCCCAGGTGGCGGCAGAGCTGGCATCCGGCGTACGGTCTCCGGCGCGCGGCGCCCGGCGCACGGATACAGGCGCAAAGAGTGATTACCGTGTTTCGAAAGCGTTGTCGTTCTTCTTCCGTCACGGCCAGAAGAGAGCTTACGTCGCGAGGCGGACCGACAGCCACGGGTGGATCAAATTAGACGGCTTGCATGAGAGAGCTCATTGGCGTGACAGTTGTGCCAATCGAGCGCGTGGACTTGCCCGAGAAGGCTCATGGTGAGCCCTCTCGGGCAAGTTCCTCAAACGTTCTTTCCGTTTCTGTGTTTGCCCAGTTCTAACGCGTCGTCGGCCCGGATGGAGGACGGCTGGTTTTCAAAAAGCGCGATTCGTTTTGGTGCCGCGCGCATACGTTCGAGCAGTTACTTTTTGACCTTTGTCCCTGCGCCCAGGCACCGCTGCGCTGGCCCTCGCTTCGCCCTCGGCCAGTCCTGGCGCGAGCCGCGGCCGTCCGCGCGACCTCGAGACGCAGAGCCCGCGACCGCCGCGCACCGCACGAAGTCCCGCGCGGTTTGAGCGTGCCCCCCGCTCCTCCTCCTCCTCCTCCTCCTCCTCCTCCTTCTCCTCCTCCTCCTCCTCCCCCTCCTCCTCCCCCTCCTCTCCCCCTCCTCCTCCTCTTCCATCCTCCTCTCCTCACTTCCTCCTCCCTCCTCCTCTCCTCCTCCTCCTCCTCCTCCAAGCGCGCACAGGGCACGCCACTTACTGAACCCCCATTGCCTTTTCCACGGCGCTGTTCGCAGGATGTCGTTGCGGTTTGTTCAGTTGCTCTGAAACTATCTTGACTTTCTACTTGAAGTTTTCAGGATCTCAGATATGGATGGTGGTCGTCGGCCGTCTATGCCCAATTTTTCTGAGGGGAGGATCTCCAGTGCTTCGCGCTGCAGCACAATCCCATGAACGCGCCCCCCCTCGATCGTCTCGTCGACGTCACGTACCAGGCCCGCAACGCGGACTTCGTTTGCCTCAACGGGGCGGGGGCGAGGAGACACGGGCAGGCAGGGGTTGCTGATGGGAGAAAGGTAATTAGGGGAGCAATGGTTACTGGAGGCGGGGTGGGCTCGGGGCCCTTTTTCGAACGAGTCTGCTGGATGTTCCATGCTCAGAACGCGATCAAATACTTTCGACTTTGGCATCGTCAACGTCTATGTCCCCCCCGTCCCTAGCCAGCCTGCACTGTATCCCGCGTGCGCCAAGACTTGTGACCTGCTCATTCGCTGGATCCGAGATCTTCCAATCTGGAGTTCACGCAGATGCTTCTCAATTGTATGTGCTGATCTTAATTCGGGCTTTGGCTTGGCTCAGCTGGAGGAGACAGAGCGGCGGTACAAGATTGAGTCCACCAGTAGCGGCCCCCATGCACCACGAGCTTGGCAGAAGTATTCAGGTAACTTGATGCATCGATTTCTCGAAGATCTTGATCTAGTTGCTGTCAACACTTTCGTCGGTGCCGGTCCTACTTTCGCGAGCAACACGGGGGCAGAGACACAGACCGACTACATATTTGTGCCGCGTTGCTTTCTGGCCTCTGTACTTTCTGCAGGACCACTTAGGAAGCTAGGCAAGTCACCCCAGCTTATCAACACGAAAGCTGCTAGAGATCACGTTCCACCTCATGCTCGATTACGCTACAATTATCATGGCGTCCTTGGTCTTGCTACGCACTTTACCTCTAGCGAAAGGATTGGCTTCGTACCCCGTTGAGTTCGTTGGATTGTGGACGCT